CTGGGGCCCCCCAGGGGCCCCCTCGTTCTGGGGGCCCCCGATCGTGGGGCCCAGGTTTGATGGAGGGTTTGATGTTGGGGGCCCCACAAGCTAAGGGTGTACGCGTGATAGAGAATTGCAGCAGCGAGTATTTTTTATCTGTTGTAGTACCTCAGGGCTTACCTTGCGTTATTAGGGGGGCCCCTGTGGGGCCCTGTGTGTCTCTGTGGGGCGATTTGGATTATTTATTTAAGACAATAAAAGACAGAAAGGTGGTTGCACATGTTGCACCAGACCCCACAAACATGCAGTTCAATAATAAAAATACTTTTAAATATATCCCTATGTCGCTGCATGAGTTGCTGCGCAGGGCGAAGCAAGCTGATACAGCAGCAGCAACTCATACTAACAGCAGCAGCAGCAACAGCAGCAGCAGCAGCAGCAGCAGCAGCAGCAGCAGGAGAAACGAAGGGGAGGAGCACGAGCTGCTGCCTCCGCTGCTGCAGCCGGGTGAGGGATATTACTACAGGGACGTGGGAGTGTTTGATCCCAGCAGCAGCAGCAGTAGCAGCAGCAGCAGCAGCAGCAACGGCAACAGCAGCAGCAGTAACAGCAGCAACGGCAGCAGCAGCAGCAACAACGATAACAACAGCAACAGCAGCAGCAACAACGACAACAACAGCAACAACAACAGCAACAGCAGCAGCAACAGCAGCAACAGCAACAGCAACGGCAACAGCAGCAGCAACAGCAACAGCAGCAGCAGCAGCAGCAAGAGCAGCAGGCGTGGGAGGCGCATCGAGCGTTCATGCTTTTTTCGCTCTTTCCCCGAGCTTGCTGCAGACGTGAGGTTATGTGGTTGGTTCCCTGAAGAATTATATTTTTCTTCTGTCTTAAGAATTACATCAAAAGACTTGTGTCTCTTTATGCATTATGATACACCCCACAATATATATTTGCAAGTAGTAGGCAGCAAACGAGTGCTGCTGTGGCCTCCAGAAGAATATCTGTCTCTTTATATGAAAGGAGACAAAAGTATTATCCCTCAGCCTCATCGCCTTGCTGCTGCAGCAGCAGCAGCAAAAGCAGCAGCAGCAGCAAATGCAGCAGCAGCAAATGCAGCAGCAACAGCAGACGGAAAGGAGACACCAGCAGCATCAACACCACCAGCAACAGCAGCAGCAGCAGCAGCAGGACCAGCAGCAGCAGCAGCAGCAGCAGCAGCAGCAGCAGCAGCAGCAGAAGATATTGATATGTTCCCTTTGTTTTATTATGCACAGCGGTTTGAGTGCGAGCTGCTTCCTGGGGATATACTGTTCATTCCTTCTCTTTGGCTGCATGCAACGAAGAGCAGCAGCTTTAGTTTAGCTGTTAATATCTTTTGGTTGGAGCAGCTTAGCAGCTTGCTGCACCCCACAAATGATGTGTATGGGAACGGGGATCCGATCCCAGTGCAGCAGGCGCAGCAAGCTATTGATAGAGCCCTGAGGTGTATCTGCAGCCTCCCTGAAATACAAAGAGATTTTTACTGTAGAAAATTAATACAGCAGTTATTAAATAAATGTATTATTAATAATCCTCTAGAAGGTATTCTTTTAAAGGTATTACAGACAAACAAAGACAATAAATATCTAAATCATAATAATATTAAAGATGATAAGGAGAATGCAACAGAGACACAAACAAAATAACCAGATTTATATATTTATAAACAAAAGAATATATATATATAATATATATAATATATATAATGTATATAATATATATAATATATATAATATATATAATATATATAATATATATATACAGCATAAACAGAAAAAGACTAATAGAAAAAAATATATATATATATAATACAGTTAAAACAAACAAAAAGGAGACAGAGACAGAGACAAATAAACATAAAAAGAGAGACAGAAAGGAGACAGAGGAGCATTCAAAGGAGACAAACAAAAAAACAAAGAGACAGAGACAGACATAGAGAAGGAGACAGAAAAGATATAAAAGGAGACAAACAGAAAAACAAACAAAGAGACAGAGACAGAAATAGAGAAGGAGACAGAAAAGATATAAAAGGAGACAAATAAAGAAACAAACAAAGAGACAATAAAAGAGAAGAAGACAGAGAAGAAGACAGAGAAGAAGAAAGAGAAGGAGACAGAGGAAGAGACAGATGAAGAGACAATGAAAGAGAAGAAGACAGAGAAGACAGAGGAGAACTAAAAGGAGACAGAGACAGAGACAGAGACAGAGACGGGGACAGAGGAGGAGATAAGGAAGGAGACAGAGAAGGAGGCAGAGAAGAAGACAGAGAAGGAGACAGATGGAGAGACAATGAAAGAGAAGAAGACAGAGAAGGAGACAGATGAAGAGACAATGAAAGAGAAGAAGACAGAGAAGGAGACAGAGAAGAAGAAAGAGAAGGAGACAGAGGAAGAGACAGATGAAGAGACAATGAAAG